TGGTTACTATACTCGTGCAGGCGCAGGAGGCTTATTGACACATAACACAGGGTGATGTTGGTACAGCTCCTCGATGCCAAGTTGCTGCCGCATTTAATATTCTGAGATTTAAAGTACTGGTAGGAAGTTATTAATTATTGTTAATGAGTGGGAGGAAGTGATGTCTCTAGGCATGAGCAGAGTGAGAGTAGCGAGTCAGTGTGAGTGACGTGTGATCTCTCTCCATCACCACTACACCTGTCACCTGTCACTATGTTCATCTTAAGGCCTATCGACCTCAGGAGGGTTATTAAGACCCCCACAATACCTTACTGACCAACTACCAGGTACACTTTACTCCTGAACACGGTGCAGAAGGGCCTCGGTAGCACAGTTGGCTTCATTCTCGACCCACAACCGGAAAACTCGGTTCGAATCCCAGGCGGGAACCGGAAGTATTTGGCCACGTTTCCTATCACCTAATGCCTGTGTTCACCCAACAGTAAACAGGTACCAGGGAATTTTGTCAGCTTGTTTCATGGTTGCATCCTGGGGTAGGTTCAGTAATTCGATCTTGGGAAGGGAGGGGGGGGGGGTGTACCTCGATATACACCTAACGTATCCATTTACACAGGCTGTCTGTCCCCAACAAAATGAATTATAGATTAAACTGAGTGTATATACACCAAGAAGCTGGGTACACCTCCCAGTGTATATATATATATCTGTCCTTGTGCGCCGTGAGTGGAGATAGCGGCCACTACGCAACAATTCATCAGAAGACCACAAATTAAAGAAAATATGGGGATATATTGGTCCAAGTTTGGGTATACCTATATATATATAGCCTACACCAACATTAATAATAATATTATACAACAAAGTAATTGCAGTGGCCGTATAAAAACCGCAATATTTTCCGTGAAATCTTTTTCAAAGTTTTATGAGGCATTTTCCCCGCTCAGTCACTAGTGTCCATCACGATAACCAATCTTGATTTAATTATGCTCAGTACTTTATATTCGCAAAACAAAATGATTGTTAATATAATCTGATGTGAAAGTTTTGTGTTATACTCGATCCCGTCCATCAGACCTGCGCGTATTCTTTCAAAACCAACGTTTCTGCACACATATATATATATATATATATATATATATATATATATATATATATATATATATATATATATATGTCGTACCTAGTAGCCAGAACGCACTTCTCAGCCTACTATGCAAGGCCCAATTTGCCTAATAAGCCAAGTTTTCATGAATTAATTGTTTTTCGACTACCTAACCTACCTAACCTAACCTAACCTAACTTTTCTGGCTACCTAACCTAACCTAACCAATAAAGATAGGTTAGGTTAGGTTAGGTAGGGTTGGTTAGGTTCGGTCATATATCTACGCTAATTTTTACTCCAATACAAAAAAAATTACCTCATACATAATGAAATGGGTAGCTTTATCATTTCATAAGAAAAAAATTAGAGAAAATATATTAATTCAGGAAAACTTGGCTTATTAGGCAAATTGGGCCATGCATAGTAGGCTGAGAAGTGCGTTCTGGCTACTAGGTACGACATATATATATATATATATAAAATATCAGAAACTAATTATTGTATTCTTAAATTCACTTCAACAGGAAAGATTAAAAGGTGCGTACGTTGGTGAGTCCGTGATGCGTATGTATGGATACGTGCGTCAAGGGGAAGGTATTGGTGTGGCGTAGTTACGTATCCTTGGACGTCCTCTGTGCGTGTCCTCACTGCGCGTACGGCCAGCCAGCGCAAGCTCTTGGCCTCTGCCTCCTTAGAATGTACTAATATATGCTATTATGCCAATTATATGCGCACGTTGCTCTTTAAATGTAAAGGAACGTAACTCTTCGGTTTTTGCTGTGGGGTTAAGAGGTCTCTATGCCATAATTCGTGTTAAGACATTCATCTTCTTGTTTTCATAGGGTGGAAAGGGACAGGTGTGGGTACACGGGATTAGATCCTTTGGTCCTGTGCACCCAAGATCATCTGCCCCGTGTGTCGCCTTGTGTTGTACACCCCAGCACACAGTGGGGACAGTGGATAGGGGTAGTGAGAACTTGTCAGGGGTAGTCACGGCCTGCCAGGGGTATTGAGGGCCTGCCAGGGGTACTGACGACCTGGCAGGGGTAGTGACGACCTGCCAGGGGTAGTGACGACCTGCCAGGGGTAGTGACGACCTTCCAGGGGGTAGTGAGGACCTGTAAGGGGTAGTGAGGTAGAGGAGAGCCATGGGGAATGTGATCAATACGGGATGCCGGGGGATACCAGCCCGGTCCATGTTACACCACACCAATCACCCATGACCACACACTAGGGGCTAGTACCCAGGTCTAGTGTAGACCTGGGTACACACTAGCTGTTAGTACCCAGGTCTACACACACTAGGTGTAGCCAGGGGCCAGGTCTACAGATGCAGTATGGAGAGTGAGGGACGGAATAAAGTAAACCATTATTCAAACATAAATAACACAAGAATATAGGAAACTGCAGAGCGCCTGCTGTACACACACACACACACACACACACACACACACACTTCACATTTTAAATCCCCTTTAATTCTTTCTTTATCAAATGTACTTTGGTTGTTGTTGTTGCTGTAGCCGAGCGTATGCCGGTGTCTTCAGGAATGTTGGGTTTAAACTGCCCATCTGGCTGAGTTCATCTTGAGACTTTGTGTTGTGCGGTGAAACATGATGCGTGTGGAGGATGATGCGATGCCTCACGTTCCTCCCCCAGGTCGAGGGGGAATGGGGAGGGATGGTTATTATTGGGTGATGGTAATAGGGAGAGGAAGGGGCGTGTGTAGGAGGTGAATTTACCGCGGGGGGGGGGGGGAGGGAGGATCAATACTAGGTTGACGCTTCCCCCCCGACCCCCAGGCCTCCCTCCCTATCACTCTTCAACAACTGACCTACTTCCTCTATGTAACCCCTTTCCCTCCCTCCCTCTCCCCTCCCTCACAACACTTTCCTCCCCAGCGTGTTTTGAGAGAGTGTCAGTAAGTGTTGTGTGGGGTGTGGTGAGCGAGGCAGCTCAGCGCCGCCATACTCCTCCACCTCAACACAAATGATTTGTCTCTCCATCAAATTCTCGGTTAATTATGACGCCATCAACACCGCTCGTATTGCGTGTCTTCTCCTCAGGTATTGGCACCCGAGGATGATCCGGTGTAACTGTTGGGTGGCACCTGTGGTGCTCAGCAGGCTGCCACGGGTGCCATATTGACTTAGATAAAAAAACAATGCAACTTGTAACTTCCACACCCTTGGGCAACTTGGCCCCCAAGGGTGTGGAAGACCTAACGGGAGCAATAGGAATGTGATGATAATTACCCGATCACCTGGACGCGAGCATACGAATTACCCCCCCCCCCCCCACCCTCTCACCCCACCTCACATGCATAGTTGATGACTGAGGTTGACCTTCAGCTCCCGAGCCCTGGCTCATAAACTCTGTGTGATTGTAGTAATTGGTCCCGTCACAGTTTATTGGTTGTTATCATCATATAATACCTGGTGTTGAAGCCAACTGTGGCCCCCCTCCATCACGGTCCCACACACGTTGGATTCTTTCACAGTGTTTCAAGGAAAGTTATGTTAGCTGTCAGTGATGCAATGTTTCCCTTGTAAATAGACTGTGTAAATGTTCCGGTAATGTTCACAAGTTGTTAATGACAGAACAAATCGTTGCCCTTATATTGAAGCTATTTGGGATGTGCTTATTAATCATTTGGCAGTGTTGTGTTCACCATCTGTGGCCTTGTGTGGTGGCCACCATCTGTGGCCTTGTGTGGTGGCCACCATCTGTGGCCTTGTGTGGTGGCCACCATCTGTGGCCTTGTGTGGTGGCCACCATCTGTGGCCTTGTGTGGTGGCCACCATCTGTGGCCTTGTGTGGTGGCCACCATCTGTGGCCTTGTGTGGTGGCCACCATCTGTGGCCTTGTGTGGTGGCCACCATCTGTGGCCTTGTGTGGTGGCCACCATCTGTGGCCTTGTGTGGTGGCCACCATCTGTGGCCTTGTGTGGTGGCCACCATCTGTGGCCTTGTGTGGTGGCCACCATCTGTGGCCTTGTGTGGTGGCCACCATCTGTGGCCTTGTGTGGTGGCCACCATCTGTGGCCTTGTGTGGTGGCCACCATCTGTGGCCTTGTGTGGTGGCCACCATCTGTGGCCTTGTGTGGTGGCCACCATCTGTGGCCTTGTGTGGTGGCCACCATCTGTGGCCTTGTGTGGTGGCCACCATCTGTGGCCTTGTGTGGTGGCCACCATCTGTGGCCTTGTGTGGTGGCCACCACCTGTGGCCGTGTGTGGTGGCCACCACCTGTGGCCTTGTGTGGTGGCCACCACCTGTGGCCTTGTGTGGTGGCCACCATCTGTGGCTTTGTGTGGTGGCCACCATCTGTGGCCTTGTGTGGTGGCCACCATCTGTGGCCTTGTGTGGTGGCCACCACCTGTGGCCTTGTGTGGTGGCCACCATCTGTGGCCTTGTGTGGTGGCCACCATCTGTGGCCTTGTGTGGTGGCCACCATCTGTGGCCTTGTGTGGTGGCCACCATCTGTAGCCTTGTGTGGTGGCCACCACCTGTGGCCTTGTGTGGTGGCCACCATCTGTGGCCTTGTGTGGTGGCCACCATCTGTGGCCTTGTGTGGTGGCCACCATCTGTGGCCTTGTGTGGTGGCCACCATCTGTGGCCGTGTGTGGTGGCCACCATCTGTGGCCTTGTGTGGTGGCCACCATCTGTGGCCTTGTGTGGTGGCCACCATCTGTGGCCTTGTGTGGTGGCCACCATCTGTGGTCTTGTGTGGTGGCCACCATCTGTGGCCTTGTGTGGTGGCCACCATCTGTGGCCTTGTGTGGTGGCCACCATCTGTGGCCTTGTGTGGTGGCCACCATCTGTGGCCTTGTGTGGTGTTCACCAAATGGAACACCAGTCTGTCCTTACTGCTTGTTGAGTTGAGACGAGAACTGCCTACGTCACTTCCGCTCTGATTCTTGGAGTCATTAGCAGCGTCAAATTGTCTCAGTTTAAGCCCATGCTGACCTATTTGTACTTGTTGGTTTTGAGCTTCAGCTCGTGGGCCCTGCCTGTGAGCTATCAGGTGTCTGGGCGAGTGGCCTTCACCTACTCGGCCTCCTTCCTTCTCTTCACTACACAATCCAAAAAAAAGAACTAGTTTAGTCACTTTCATATGTCCCTCTAGCTCCGTGTTCTTCTTTACCTATTGTTCATCTACTCTCTGCCTCGTCTCCCCTTCCCTACCACTCAACCTTCCTCTCAATCTTCAACTTCCCCTTACTTGTCAACCTTCACTCACTCGTCCAGTTCCTCTCCCTGCTCACTCTTCACGCCTCCCCACCTCTCCTGGGGCCAGATTCACGAAAGCACTTACGAACCTGTACATCTTTTCTCAATCTTTGGCGGCTTTGTTTCCAATTATTAAACAGTTAATGAGCTCCGAAGCACCAGAAGGCTGTTTATAACAATAACAACAGTTGAATGGGAAGTTTTCATGCTTGTAAACTGTTTAATAAATGTAACCAAAGCCGTCAATGATCGAGAAAAGATGTACAGGTTCGTAAGTGCTTGTGTAACTGCTTCATGAATCTGCCCCTGGTCTCAGCCGTGTGTGTGTGTGTGGAGAGTGTTGGAGCTGCTTGCAGAACTTGGTATGAGGTATAGCCTGGGAATGGATGGGTTGGAGTACCTGCAGCGAATGTGGTCGGGGCGGGTGAGGTTGTGGCATTGTTGGGCTTGGTTAGTTTAGGACTTTCACTCTTTGGCCGGGTCCAGCAGCCCTCGGGACCCGGCTCCCGCTACCGCTAGTCTTCGGCAACAGGCTGCTGCTACACTCTCCACGGTTCTTCCTCCCCGTTGAATGACACTGCCGCTTCTTGCATAAACTGACCCGTAGTTTGTACTTAATAGGTTTAAAGTTGGCGTAAATTGGCAGCATATTGGTGGTGAGGGGTAAGAGTAAGGGTCGTAATTACAGCGAGTGGCACTGCGCGGCACTACTTACCTCCCCCCCCCCCTCGCCAACCTCGGTACAGTTACTATCCCCCCCTCCCTTCCTCTCCCCTCCCCTCTGGTTCCCCTCCCTTCCTCTCCCCTCCCCTCTCACCGGTCCCCCCTCCCCTCTCTCTGGCCCACTCCCCCCTCTCCCTGCAGCGACTACACCCCCGCCCCACCTGTGCTTGGCTTGCTCTCTCCTACTGACCCACATATTCTGGCGGGGACCACCTTGCGCCAGCCTCCACAACCACCTTCCTCTTTCCTTCCTGTTTCCTCCTCTATATTATTCTCCTCTAGCACGGGCATATAGTACATGTAGTACATTTTACTCCTCTTCATATGGGGAGCTTCTGAGAGGTGGATACTCACCAACTTCAATCATATCCGCGGTAATGTGGAGTGAGCCGGCCGGCAACACCACCTTTCAAATTGTTTTATATTCAGCTTGACTTTTGAAGCGTTGTCACCCCCCCCCCCATACACGGTGTGTGTGGGGGTCAGGTGACACAGTGAGACTACCTGAGGTCAGGCATGTTTCCACACCAACTGGTGGAGTGACCTCACATCTCCCCTGTCTTGACCTATTTACCTAACCTTGACACCCTCAGGCCGGCCACTCCAGCAAGTATATTCCTACTGTTCGCTCGCTGGTTTATATTGACATGTTTCCCTCGTCGCTGTTCGTGTTAAAGGTATTAAAACATCAAGAGGCTTTTTGGTTTGATAACGTTTTGTGTTTTGACTTGTCGTTATTTGTGATTTTACACTGTGGGGCGTGAGTTTGTGCGTGGCCTTCAGCATCACGCCACCACGGGGAGCTGGGCCCGCCTGGCCACCACGGGGAGCTGGGCCCACCTGGCCACCACAGGGAGCTGGGCCCACCTGGCCACCACGGGGAGCTGGGCCCGCCTGGCCACCACAGGGAGCTGGGCCCACCTGGCCACCACGGGGAGCTGGGCCCGCCTGGCCACCACGGGGAGCTGGGCCCGCCTGGCCACCACAGGGAGCTGGGCCCACCTGGCCACCACGGGGAGCTGGGCCCGCCTGGCCACCACGGGGAGCTGGGCCCGCCTGGCCACCACAGGGAGCTGGGCCCGCCTGGCCACCACAGGGAGCTGGGCCCACGGGGAGCTGGGCCCACGGGGAGCTGGGCCCACGGGGAGCTGGGCCCACGGGGAGCTGGGCCCACAGGGAGCTGGGCCCGCCTGGCCACCACAGGGAGCTGGGCCCACAGGGAGCTGGGTAACAAGAAAAATTAAGCTGCAGATGAAAGTGAATGAACAAAAAAGTGAATAGGTGCATGGCGGGGGGGGGGGAGGGGGTCTCACTTTTAGTGGGGAAGGGGGGCGGGGCGCACTTTCTCCTCCGGTGACCCAACTCCCTCCACTGCTACACGCTGGGTGGAGTGACGTTTGGATATCTTTTAAGTACCTGGAAGTCCTAAACTATGTATGGTAGAGTAGAGGAAAGGTGGAAATAGGGAAGGCTGCCACCACCTGTTGTTTTAAGCCCACCACTATAGGCTGTTCCCCTTTTCCCAGTGGCTCCGGTGTGGAGGAGTGGCACTGGGGTGGCCTGAGTCAAAGCCGGTACCCAGAATGTTATCATGTCAACTTATTTATGGATTACCACCTGTAACAAGTCGACGATTTGCCGGAGCCAGCCTCCTTGCGTATTGTCTCAATACCTGACCTCCTTACCAAGTGTAAATTCACTTTTAAGATTCCCTCTCACACTCAACCGCAGACTCGGCCCCACCACAAGGGGCACACGCACAAGGGGACACAGGTGGAAACTGAGTGCCTAACATGAGCCACAGAGATATTAGAAAGAACTTTTTTAGTGTCAGAGTGGTTGACAAATGGCATGCATTAGGAAGAGATGTGGTGGCGGCTGACTCCATACACAGTTTCAAGTGTAGATATGATAGAGCCCAATAGGCTCGGGAATCTGTACACCTGTGTTGATTGACGGTTGAGAGGCGGGACCAAAGAGCCAGAGCTCAACCCCCGCAAACACAACTAGGGGAGTACAACTAGGTGAGTACAGGCTCCGGCCCCACCACTGTAGACTCCAGCTTTTGGTAGCCGGGCTGCTTCCTGGGGGTGGAGGCCTAGTCGAGGACCGGGCCGCGGGGACACTAAAAAGCCCCGAAATCATCTCAAGATAACGTCAAGACAGCGTGTTATAAGAGTGGGTATGAAGGCGAGTGGCTGAGGACGCTGCCACACTCACATTTACACACTGTGTGACCTGGTTTTGAGCAGCGCTCACTACTCTGACATTTAGTGTGGGTGGAGGTGTTGATGACTGCTGGTCTCGCCGAGCTGTACTCACCTATTTTATCTGCGGGGGTTGAGTTTTGGCTCATTGGTCCCGTCTCTCAAGTACTAATCAACTGGTGTACAGGTTCCTGAGCCTACTGGGCTCTATCATATCTACATTTGAAACTGTGTGTGTGTGTGTGTGTGTGTGTGTGTGTGTGTGTGTGTGTGTGTGTGTGTGTGTGTGTGTGTGTGTGTGTGTTACTGTGTGTGTGTGTGTGTGTTACTGTGTGTGTGTGTTACTGTGTGTGTGTGTGTTACTGTGTGTGTGTGTTACTGTGTGTGTGTGTTACTGTGTGTGTGTGTGTTACTGTGTGTGTGTGTGTTACTGTGTGTGTGTGTGTTACTGTGTGTGTGTGTTACTGTGTGTGTGTGTGTGTGTGTGTGTGTGTGTGTGTGTGTGTGTGTGTGTGTGTGTGTGTGTGTGTGTGTGTGTGTGTGTGTGTGTGTGTGTTACTGTGTGTAGGGGCCCGGGGCTCTGTGACCTGTTGCTGGGGAGGTGACCACTGCGCCCGGCTGACCTCACGAAGGGGATAATGGGTCATATAGAAGATTACTTGACCCCAGTACGGCCTAATGGCGCCGCCAGGCTGTTGTTAGGGGCTGAGACAGCCGGACCCAACCATTTTGGGAACGGCCCTATTTTCTAATACTCAGGAGACCCACGACGGGACTTGTAATAGAGAGGCTTAGAAACCTTCTAAGGTACCCTCCTTTTGAGATGTATTTTATCATATCTCAGTACACTTACCTGACTAAGTTACAGCCCCGCTCCTGTGCCAGGTATGTCTACTACGGGCTCGCCATAGCCCGTGCTACTTGGAACTTGTTGTTCCAAGTAGCTGAATCTTAAACAACAACAACAACAACACTTACTTGAACCATAGCGAGTCTGGGTCTACTACCTGGGCCCAACACTGGTGCATCTCCGCCTGTGGTGGGTGTGGGTGGAGACACAACTCCACCTGTGGTGGGTGTGGGTAGAGAGACAGCTCCACCTGTGGTGGGTGTGGGTGGAGACACAACTCCACCTGTGGTGGGTGTGGGTAGAGAGACAGCTCCACCTGTGGTGGGTGTGGGTGGAAGCACAACTCCACCTGTGGTGGTGGGTGTGGGTAGAGACACAGCTCCACCTGTGGTGGGTGTGGGTGGAAGCACAACTCCACCTGTGGTGGTGGGTGTGGGTAGAGACACAGCTCCACCTGTGGTGGGTGTGGGTGGAGACACAACTCCACCTGTGGTGGGTGTGTGTGGAGACACAACTCCACCTGTGGTGGGTGGGTGTGGAGAGACAAGTCCACCTGTGGTGGGTGGGTGTGGAGAGACAAGTCCACCTGTGGTGGGTGGGTGTGGAGAGACAAGTCCACCTGTGGTGGGTGGGTGTGGAGAGACAAGTCCACCTGTGGTGGGTGTGGGTGGAGAGACAGCTCCACCTGTAGTAAGATCGTCTTAGTTCTTAACACGTCCCTAATGCCCTACAGTATTACTTTACCAAACAATCTAAAACAAATCATTATGACCCAAGCTTCGTTATTTAAGAGAAAGCATATGGTAATACAAACATTACAAGGGATGAATAAGTAGATAATTATTCATTAAATTTTACATATATTCACGGTATTACACTAAATTATGTATCTGGGGTATAAGCTGTTTGCTCTACGATAAAAGAATAAGCATTTTGCTTCGTGTAATTGAAGCCGGTTTTCAGTAATGACAGAGGCATTGTTCCCACTGGTGTTAGACAATGTACAATTACTATATTTTTGTGGGTCAAGATTATCATGCACTTTATTGTTCTTTACTGACTGAATATATTTAGCTCTTTTAAAACGAGATTCTTGTAATTTGTTAACTTTCTTCTACTACTCATTCACATACACTTATTCACTCATTCACACATTCATTCACAGCTATTCAAACTCATATTTATTCATAGTTATACCCATTTATTCACATTCAACTCTTTCACACTTTCCTAAGATCTTGCTTAGGATCTCGTAAGATCCTATGGATTGGTATATCTTGAGGTTATCTTGAGATGATTTCGGGGCTTTTAGTGTCCCCGCGGCCCGGTCCTCGACCAGGCCTCCACCCCCCAGGAAGCAGCCCGTGACAGCTGACTAACACCCAGGTACCTATTTTACTGCTAGGTAACAGGGGCATAGGGTGAAAGAAACTCTGCCCATTGTTTCTCGCCGGCGCCTATGATCGAACCCAGGACCACAGGATCACAAGTCCAGCGTGCTGTCCGCTCGGCCGACCGGCTCCCGGTATGCAAGTGCTATCTTTTTTTCCTCCACTTTCTTCAATGTGAAGACTATCGTTGTAATGTGTTTATTCCTCGTTTATCGCAGCGTTCTCTGTGTCTCCCTCATTCTTCTGTTCACCTCTTAAGCCTTCATTGTTGTCTTCCATCTGACCTGGCTGTAGGGAAGGTTAGGTTGGGCTTGGCCATTATCAGGTTGGGCTTTGCCATTATTAGGTTGGGCTTGGACATTATTAGGTTGGGCTTGGCCATTATTAGGTTGGGCTTGGACATTATTAGGTTGGGCTTGGCCATTATTAGGTTGGGCTTGGACATTATTAGGTTGGGCTTGGCCATTATTAGGTTGGGCTTGGACATTATTAGGTTGGGCTTGGACATTATTAGGTTGGGCTTGGACATTATTAGGTTGGGCTTGGACATTATTAGGTTGGGCTTGGACATTATTAGGTTGGGCTTGGCCATTATTAGGTTGGGCTTGGACATTATTAGGTTGGGCTTGGCCATTATTAGGTTGGGCTTGGACATTATTAGGTTGGGCTTGGCCATTATTAGGTTGGGCTTGGACATTATGCTAATTCACTCTGAAATTGGTGTTTTCTCTCCACTCTGATGCACTCATTCCTGGTCCTCTCTCTGAGTACTGTCATACCTCAGGTCCTCTTATTAGCTTCTCTATGATTTGCTCCGAAAGGAGACTTTATTGGGCAGCGTTACTCATCCTGTGAGTGAATATACGGACATTGTGACAGTATTGGGCAGCGTTACTCATCCTGTGAGTGAATATACGGACATTGTGACAGTATTGGGCAGCGTTACTCATCCTGTGAGTGAATATACAGACATTGTGACAGTATTGGGCAGCGTTACTCATCCTGTGAGTGAATATACAGACATTGTAACAGTATTGGGCAGCGTTACTCATCCTGTGAGTGAATATACAGACATTGTGACAGTATTGGGCAGCGTTACTCATCCTGTGAGTGAATATACGGACATAGTGACAGTATTGGGCAGCGTTACTCATCCTGCGAGTGAATATACGGGCATTGTGACAGTATTGGGCAGCGTCACTCCCTCTCCCAATATGAAGACACTGTGTATCTAGGCTCTGTCTCCAAATAATGTTCAGAGCCTGTGGTTGTGGGGCATTTCTTCACTATGGATGAATATGGAATTACAGGAGACTTTGCCTAGGACGGAGAGCATCGGCATACTGTCCAGTGGGGTCAGGGGTGACATCTGAGGCAGGGGTCGAGGTTGGGGTCAGGGGTCAGGGGTCGAGGATGGGGTCACGTTGAAGAATCATTCTGGTTGTAAAGGTTCAATACACGCAGAAATCACAATAGCGTGATGCATCAAATGAACGAAATCCACAAGATTAGCTCAGTCGATTAAGGCAGCGTCTGGGATCCTCTCGGACGTAAGTTCGAATCCTCGTCACGGCCCTTGTGGATTTGTTCATTTAAAGGTTCAATGTTTGGAGTTTGCTGAAAATAAGAGTGGTGTCCACAGTGTGTCATTTGTGGGTTAGTTGTCATCAGTGAATGTTGCCTGTCCGGTACCAGCTGCGGCTCCGGTACCAGCTGCGGCTCCAGTATCAGCTGCGGCTCCAGTACCAGCTGCGGTTCCAGTACCAGCTGCGGCTCCAGTACCAGCTGCGGCTCCAGTAGGCGAAGAAGTCCAACATGACTTGAGACTTACCACTGAGGTCTGCCAACTATAGTCTTCATGCCTCAACTGATATTTTTCTTAATGCCCCACAATTTCGAAGCTTTTGACTCCAACGCGAAAATTGCTATAGTTTATCGATAATAAAAGCCCCGAACTATTGGCGCTTCCTGGTACTAGTGAGCCTCGATGGGTTAGGTGGGTTGATCAGGTTTGTATACGTCTGGGTTAGGCAAACCCACTTCGAATCTTATGCATTTCAACTTATGAGAACGGGCTGCCATACCAACCCTCCAGTTCCTATTTCTCTACCCCAAGTTGAAGTAAGATTATTGAGATAATAGAATACATCTGAGAAGGTTAGAGCAGCTTAGGCAGTTTCTATCCTCGTCATCTTAAGGTCCCTCTAGGGGCTCGCAAAGCCATACAGTACACAAGTATTAATTATGATATTCTCTACCACTAACATTACATTTGCTTTTAATTCTTACACTGAAGAAGTGCCCTATTCTCAGTGTTTACTTCTACCATGTCCTGCTCTTGTGTATGTCCTGCTCTTGTGCATGTCCTGCTCTTGTGTATGTCCTGCTCTTGTGCATGTCCTGCTCTTGTGTATGTCCTGCTCTTGTGTATGTCCTGCTCTTGTGTATGTCCTGCTCTTGTGCATGTCCTGCTCTTGTGTATGTCCTGCTCTTGTGCATGTCCTGCTCTTGTGTATGTCCTGCTCTTGTGCATGTCCTGCTCTTGTGCATGTCCTGCTCTTGTGCATGTCCTGCTCTTGTGCATGTCCTGCTCTTGTGCATGTCCTGCTCTTGTGTATGTCCTGCTCTTGTGTATGTCCTGCTCTTGTGTATGTCCTGCTCTTGTGTATGTCCTGCTCTTGTGCATGTCCTGCTCTTGTGCATGTCCTGCTCTTGTGTATGTCCTGCTCTTGTGTATGTCCTGCTCTTGTGTATGTCCTGCTCTTGTGCATGTCCTGCTCTTGTGCATGTCCTGCTCTTGTGCATGTCCTGCTCTTGTGCATGTCCTGCTCTTGTGCATGTCCTGCTCTTGTGTATGTCCTGCTCTTGTGTATGTCCTGCTCTTGTGCATGTCCTGCTCTTGTGCATGTCCTGCTCTTGTGTATGTCCTGCTCTTGTGCATGTCCTGCTCTTGTGCATGTCCTGTTCTTGTGTATGTCCTGCTCTTGTGTATGTCCTGTTCTTGTGTATGTCCTGCTCTTGTGTATGTCCTGCTCTTGTGCATGTCCTGCTCTTGTGTATGTCCTGCTCTTGTGTATGTCCTGCTCTTGTGTATGTCCTGCTCTTGTGCATGTCCTGCTCTTGTGCATGTCCTGCTCTTGTGCATGTCCTGCTCTTGTGCATGTCCTGCTCTTGTGTATGTCCTGCTCTTGTGTATGTCCTGCTCTTGTGTATGTCCTGCTCTTGTGTATGTCCTGCTCTTGTGTATGTCCTGCTCTTGTGTATGTCCTGACAATCCTAGCCCAGTTCATATCTTCGTCCTGCACCTGTGCAAGAGTTGTCGTCCTGCAGCTGTGCACGAGTTGTCGTCCTGCACCTGTGCAAGAGTTGTCGTCCTGCAGCTGTGCACGAGTTGTCGTCCTGCAGCTGTGCACGAGTTGTCGTCCTGCTGCTGTGCAAGAGTTGTCGTCCTGCAGCTGTGCAAGAGTTGTCGTCCTGCAGCTGTGCAAGAGTTGTCGTCCTGCACCTGTGCAAGAGTTGTCGTCCTGCAGCTGTGCAAGAGTTGTCGTCCTGCAGCTGTGCACGTCCTCTCGTCCTGCCTCTAGAAATATTGTATGGTGTTGTCATGCTGCCTCTTGCTCTTCCCTCTTGTGGCGCGAGAGTTTGTTTCCCCTCGATCTTCCCGACGTAGCTCAGTCCTCTTTAGTTCACCACCAGTTCTCTTCCAAGTCTTTGGACTTCCTCTACCTTTTATTTCTTCTCTGTGA